GGAACCAGAGTGACAAAAGTTAGTGGGAAAAGGAAAGGCCTGCTTGTTAAGACAATCTTCTGAGAGCCCTGCTCTGTGGGGCCCCCACTTGCTAAAATGGCTGTTGGAGGGAGGACCTTCTCTTTCAGTGGGGACAGCCCTCCTTACACCTGTTCAACTGACTCTGAGCTTGAATACTTTGGCACCACATTAAGGTTGTTTTGTTTATCCGGGTCTTTGTTAGCTTTGTATTTTGGTCACCCTTTTAACATTTGTTACTGCCTTAGTCTTTAAGTATTTATGCTTCTGCTGCTCCTTGGCTGCTCTTTTACACTGTATTTATTTATTTGCTGCTACTGTTGGCTTCGTGCTTTTTGTGTTTGTCAGGTTTTTCTGCTTTCAGTTTAGAAGTGCTGCTATGCTAAGTATTTTCACAATTGATTTATATTACTAATGCTGGTCTTTTTTTCATTTTGATTTTTTTTTTTAACGTATAAGCTGCCTCAATTGCCCTGACAGAAAGCTCAGGGTGAAAATCCATATAAACAAACAGCCTTTCTTGGAAAGAAATGAAGAACGATGGCCCTGGTCACACGAAAGGTTTTGGGCCAGGAGAGGGCCGGATCGGGGGTGCAGCAAACATGCGCAGTTCAGCAGCCTCCCGTTGCTGTCTCCCCGGTCTCCCCAGCATCTGATCGTCCCGGGGAGCAATTGCGCGGCGGCTCACAGGATTTGTATGATCCCGCCGCCGCGTGCCTATTTTGGTGCGGCTTTTAAAAGCCACACTTTTGCCCGACTTCCCCCCCCCCCCCCCCCCGTGTGGCAGGCAGCAAGAACCTGCAAAGCTCAAAATGCTTTTAGCCATTTTGAAATAAAACTTGCTTTTGGATAATTTTGGCTGCAATCCGAAGAACACTTTTTTGGTAATAAACTTCTGAGTAGCTTCACTTGGGATTGCTTCCTTTTCTTTCTTTCTTTTGTCATACACTGAAGCACCTGGTTGTGTCCAGGACTGTGGTGGTGGGGGGGGGGTGGAGGAGCTCCTGCATTCTTGTTACAACTATGGGTTTTGTGGTCATATCTGGTTGATACAAAAAATGCTGGACTAGATAAAACTTTGATCTGATCCAGAAAGACACTTCTTACACGCTTGGCTTTTAGGCTCTGCACTGTTCTACACGGTTTGGATGGTTTATTGTGCTCTGATGCTATTGTTTTTACTTTTGTGTTTATATTTATGAGGTTAGTCAGAAAGTGAAGTGTGTAAATAAATGCTCTCCCCCTCCCCTTTTAGGGTTGCACAAACGGGCTTCAACCTACTTCCACATCAGTGTCAGGTATCCACACCTCCTGTATCTGTTCAGAAAGTTTAATGGCAATATTGACTCTGAACAGCAGAAGCAGATCATAGGCTTTCCAGAAAGCATAGGCTAGGGCTGATATATTCCAGGCTTCATAATCCCGATAACCACAATTAAACAGATGCATTAATTATGCAAATAGAGGACACTTGATCAGAACACCTAACTTGTAATTTCTAGTAGATACATTGTCTCTACTCTTGCCAACTTCCATAAGCAACAAGGAAAGGTCACTCTTTC